ACAACAATTACAAGAGTTGCCACATGGGTATAATCTCTGGTGACCAAATAAATTGATTTGGAGGTAATTCGCTTAAACTAGAGTTAATAATAACCCCCTAATTGGCAACCACAACTGCACACGCACTAGCACAAGCACTGACGTACAAATCTACCACATAGACGGCAGATGGACCAGATCTATACGGCAACTCATGCAACCAAAACAAGCGAGACCGCATCAAAACCATCACTTGGCAAACTGAGGCCACAATGAATAACCAAGTATGACGATCGGGGTCACATCAAAACACCGCTCACAAACTGGCCACATCACTAACAAGGCGAGACATTACCTGCTAGAAGCAGTACAAACAAACCTACACTGAAACTACACAAATCAGAGAAAATGGAATCCTCCGTTAGGCTTGAATCCATCCATTAACCCATCACCGCTTGCAACTAGTGCAAGTCCGCTGCAACCCGCGAGCCAAGGTCACCAGAGGAAGGTGAAGCCACCACTAAACAATTGAGAAGAGCCCCAAAACACGGAAAAGTAAGTCATATGGGGATGATCTGACTCACCAACAACCAAAAACATCAACCCAAACCTGCAGATCTAGTCCCAAAGCAGGGGAAAAGCCCTGTACGATAATAAATCTCAAGAAATGGGTCGAAGGCCTGCATCCATAAGTTTAACAGGTTGGGTTTGGGTGTCTCATTAAAAAAATCAGTTTGTGGTCAATCCAACCAAAAGCCAACTAAACCCGACCATTTGCCAGCTATACGAAAATATCATCATTGTTTTTGCCTCCTTTTACCAGATTCATGAGAGATTTCTTTGGTTTTTTTCCTTGTTTCTTCTTTGGGCTAAATGTGAAAAATGCAGTTTCTCCAAAAAAAAAAAAAAAAAAAAAAAAAACAAATGTGAAAAATGCAGTTGAGGTCTTTGGTAATATGGAAAAGAGCAAATTAGCAAAAGATAAGTTGGTGGGTTTGTTGGTAAGTCCGTTTGGTTCTGTCCCATATCAAATCACAAGGCTTTTCAATGTTGGGTTTTATATTCGATTTGCAAGCTTAAGGCCCTTTAGTTTTTGGAAAAAGAGATTGCAAATATAATTATTGAAGAAAGACTTTTCTAGAGCAGTTTTAGATGACCAAACGCTTTTAGATCATCAAGAGCGCTTGTGACGAAAAATTCAAAATGTTTATAGGTTAAAAAAACATTTGAAGGTAGAATCAGCTACCATATGCTTATTTCAAGAATTACTTGCATTTTTAATAAAAACGCTTTAGTACATAAGTGTTTTTTAAAAAAGCTTCTAGACATGCCCTCTAATATAATGTCATGTGAAGAGTCTTACACTTAACCTTGAATTAATGTTTCATGACACCGCCATCCCTCTCCGCGCGACTTTGTATTAGTGATTTAAAACGTCATGGTGGTTATTAATCCGTTCTACCTAAATTCTACTCTTGTTTAAGATGGGCCTGGTCCGCAGTAAGTGGGTTTTGGGTGCAATTTTTGCGTAGGCCAAAGTTGCTGATTACAGGAAGTCCAAAGGCCAAGACTAGAGCCCCAACCTCTCATGCCACTTGTTTTCTGATTGCTTCTCCTTTCATCTGCTCCTGCCACCCACCACCAATACTTCGTCACAAGCCGAAAACAAGACGCGCTTGGCACTTGCGGTGGATGAGACGGCGGTGGTTCACTTCCAGCTGTGGGGGGATGAGTGCAACGCCTTCGAGCCCGGCGACATCGTCCACTTGAGCAACGGCATCTTCTCTTACGACAGGAGCAAACTTTTGCTGAGGGAGAGGCAAAATTCAGAAGGCTGGGGCTTAGTGGCCTTTTTACTATCAAACGCTTTGTTTTGGAGAACAAGCCAACTCCACTGCTCCAACCCATCTTATATGTTTGGTTTTATTTAGCTTTATTCTAATTCCATCTAAACTACGGAGTGGAGTTCCGAACATAAGGTATTTGGTAACATGATAAAGAGCAAAACCTTAAAGTTGGCGGTTGTTGGCAAGTTGGTTTGGGTCTATCCTTACCAAACGTCGAGACTTTAGAGCTCATCTGATAACTATTTCGGTTTAGTTTTTATTTTTGTATTTGAGACGCAGAGAAAGTGTACAGCATAAAAGAAGGGAGAAGTAGGGTGGCAAGAGGGACACGAAAGAAACAAAGAAGAATGTATGAAAACAAAAGTTTCAAAGTGAAAACAACTCAAAATTATTTTTCAGCTGCAAAATGACCACTCATTTTTGTATTTTATATGCTAAATATATTATAACTATTGGCTTTGTTCAATAAACAAAAGAAAAATGTTCTTTTTTTTAATCTTAAACGGTTTTTAAAATTAGTATAACTTTTCACTTTAATCTTAGAACATCCAACAGCCTAACTAAATGAGCTCGTTTGGCTATTTTAATATAATAATGAAAAGTAGTAAAAGCTAAATTCTAACAGACTTACAGAAGGTGTGAACGTTTCAATTAGAATCTAATAAAATATACGTTTGAAAAAAAAAAAAATCCAGCAGACTAGCTACTTAAACAAAAAATTTAGATTGATGAATAGTAACTTGCGAACTTTAGCTAGGAAGAAAAAGTTAAATTTTAGCGGAATATTAAAAATTATAAAATTTACATTGTTTATTGTTTGCGTTTGCTACGACAGACTCGGTGGTGGTGGTCGGTGCTACGGCCGATCGGTGGTGGTGGAATTGATGTTATGTTCAATGGACAGTGTCACTTTAGTTGCCGGGCAGCTGCTACGACGGGTGGATGTTGAAGAATCTATGCGAGTGGTGGGTCTGCATCTACGGAGGTTGTGGGACATGGATTCGGATCCTCTCCAAGGCAACGGGTCGGGATATTCCTGACCAGTATTAGTTGACCGTTGAATTTTTATCCAACGGTTACAAATAGAGGATTTTCTAAAAGTTATAATAACTGTAGTCGTTAGATAAAAATTCAACGGTCCACTAACATTGGTCAGGAAGATCCTGACCAGTTGCCTCGGAGAGGATCTAAATCCGTGGGGCATCTAGTGGTCGTTGTTGTGTGGTTGGAGAGAGAGAGAGATGAGAAGTAAACGAAGAAAAGAGACAAGGTAAGGTGAAAGTGTTGGGTGCAGTGCAGGATCCAACAAAAGAAAATGAACTCGGATTGTTAAGTTTAGAAAAAATAATATAAAAATATTATAACTCACGTTAAAATAACTAGTATTGTTGGAAGCGGTGGATCAACCCTTCTAGTTATTGCACCTTTTGATTCTTGATCTTGTGGATCATTAAGCACTTGCAAATCAGATTTACTTTGTATTAAGCACCAAAATTAATATGGAATTAAAACTAATCTAGGGGATGAGTCAGATCCCATTTCACAAAGATCCAACGGATTCCACAGGCAAGTCTATCGTTATCAGTTGCCTCTCCACTTGTTGAATTCTTAAGCAAATATGACCTCACTTTGTGGAGATTGTATTTCAAAACAGGAGGCTACTAGGAAACCTACCACTTGGGTCATCTAGTTCAAGTTTCATTTCTTTAATAGTGTCTTAAATCGAACAACATTATAATTTATAATTTATATACCTTAAATTTTCTTTTAATTTCTGGTTCTAATAAAATAACGTTTTGATTGTATGTAAGTTTTACCTCAAGCTAACTAAAGACGATCATGTGCTGAACTTCATATATCATATTTAGTTGATCTGAGATACCGTTATAGTACTTGTTGAGAATAAATCTCACATTGATGGGAGTAACCCAATTTACTTATATTGCCAATTAGTTTTATGATATCAAAGTAGGTTGTCCCACATGTGAAGCCCAACAACCACATGCAATCCACGTCATTCCACGTGTTTTGACTTGAAAATTCGACACATATGAGAGTGCATGGTACCTCAACTTTCTTCGGTCCTATCACGATAAAAAAATATAAATTTCTCTTTAGTATTTCTAATTCTTGAAGAAAGGTAGTTTGATCAAGTTTTCATACAACCTTCAAGGAGGTTTAAGTTTTAGCTCTTGAAAACAACTAAGGATGTCACCCCCGACAATATTGTCCGTAATGTGTGCACCTCTTCTTAAAGAATGGTAGTTAAATCTTCAAAGTTTCATATTCAAACAAGCCAACAACGACCCTTTCATTGTCAATGTCTCAATTAGAGGTGGCAAATCAACATATTGAATTATTAATAAGTACCCGTTAAAACTCATTTAATTCGATATCACCATATTAAAAACTACTAAGGATGTAGCTCCGACAATATTTTTCGGTAATGTCTCCGCCTCTTCTTAAAGAATGGTAGTTCAATCTTCAAGGTTCCATATTCAAACAAGCCAACAATGACCCTTTCATTATCAAGGTTCTAGCTCAACGTATTAAAATCAACCTATTAAATTGTTAATAGATATTCGTTAAAACTTGTTTAATTTCATATCACCATATTAAAAAATACTAAGGATGTCACTCCAACAATATTTGTTGGTAATGTCTCTTCCTCTTCTTAAAGAATGGTAGTTCAATCTTCAAAGTCCCATATTCAAACAAGTCAACAACAACCCTTTCGTTATCAAGTTCCCAGCTAGAGGCGGCAAATCAAATCAACCCAAGGAGTTGATTTGCCACCTCTATTCCCAACCTATCATTAAACTAGTTGGCTTCAAACAAAAAATGTAAGTGGCTTAATAGTAGCTATAATGTTGAGTTTTCACACATGCGTAACGGATTTGAAACTCATCATCTTCAAAATCCTCACTTTTTTAAATATTGTAATAGTTTTGACCTTTACATTAATAATAATAACTTAAAAAAAAATTTGTGCAATAAAAAATAAATCAGCCACGCACAAATTAAAAACAATAATACAACTTTTGCATGAAAAGGACATGAGGGAGGAAGAAAAGGATCAAATTAAACAACCAAACCAATCACCATTTTCATCAATACCAAAACCCCAACACCGAATTTTCCCGAGAAATAAACTTTCCCGGAAAACTTCCAGTTTCAGTTCCGCCATGGACAGGCTGGTGAAGCCAGACGTGAAGGAAGTGGAGCTCAACTTCAAGAGAGACCAAAAGTGCAGCACAACCTTCCGGCTGAGCAACCTCATGCACACCATGCCCGTCGCCGTCTCCCTCACCACCAACAACCCATCTCTCTTTTCCTTCACTCACCCCCTCTCCATAATCCCGCCGCTCTCTTCCTCCTCCTACACCCTCCTCCTCTCACAGCCGTCCGATGAGCCCCCGCTCTCCCTCACGGCCACCCCTCATGACGTCATCAACGTCAAGGCCTCCATGCTCCCCACCGGAAAAGCCCACCAGGAGGAACTCCGCCGCCTGTTCGCTCGGCCCGGGCCTCACGTTTTCCGGGACGCCACCATACCCATATCGTTCGTGGGTCCGCACGTGGTTGAGTTTCTAATTTCTCAGCACACCCGGATCTCGGCATTCGATTCGTTTTTCAACAAGGCGATTTCTCGGTGCTCTGGGGCTGAGCTCACGGCGTTGCTCGGTCCCGCCATAGCTTCCGGGAATGCTAATTTGGTCTCCGACCTGATTGACGCCGGTGCGGTTGTGAATTGGAGAGATTCGGATTCCGGATCTTTGCTATCTCTCGGTGTTCGAACCGGAAACGTTGAGATTGTAAAGGTCCTGATCACCTCTGGATGTGGAATCGGTAACTCGGCCGACATGGTTTTGCACGACGCGGCGGCTATGAACCGGGTCGATTTGTTTGAGATTTTGTGTAAGAGTTTCACCGGAATCGACGTCAATTGTGTTGACCCGGATGGTCGGACTCCGATTCATATCGCGGCGGCACACGGCCACGTTGAGATGTTGAAGTATTGTATTTCGGTCGGAGGCAATGCGGAAGTTTCAGACTCAAAAGGTTGGAATCCGCTTCACTGCGCGGCGGAGAAGGGGCATTTGGGGGCCGCCAAGTGTTTGTTGACTTGCTCCAAGTTGAAACACGCCGTCACGAAAGACGGAAGGACGGCTTTCAACCTCGCCGCCACAAACGGGCATTCCTGTCTTCTCGGTTGTCTACGATACGACGACGTTCTGCACCGGGCGGCGAGGTTGGACGACGCACACGGTATAAAGAGTTGCCTTGCGGAAGGGGCAGACGTGAACGGGAGAGACCAGAATGGCTGGACCCCTTTGCACAGGGCGGCGTTCAAGGGGAGGATCGAGTGTGTGAAGGTGTTGCTTAATCATGGTGCGCTGGTGGATGCGGTGGATGATGTCGGCCACACGCCGCTGCATTGCGCGGCGGAGGCGGGGCACGTGCAGGTGGCTCTGTTGCTGATTGCTCATGGAGCTCGAGCCAACGTGAAGAGCTTGAAGGGAATTGTTCCTACCAATTTGGACCGTTTCAAGAACCACCCTGCCCTGATTTCATAGAACGAAAATCACATGCAACTGAAACGTCACTGTGACGGTATTTTGTATTGATCACACAATTAAAAATATGTGATTAGCTTAAAATAACGTCACATTGCAGGTGTAGAAAAGTTTTATGGCGGTATCGTGATTTTAGAAGTTCTTGTTACATTGTGCAATCAATGTGTATATATTTGTGTATTTTTTGATGTTTATGGTGGTGAGTTTGAATGGTTGGGGCAGAGAGAGATGTGTTTCACCTCCAAAGACTGTTGGAAGAAGCTTCTTCAGCTCATGTATACTACGAGAATCAAGTTTAAGAACTAAGATTTTTGCTTTAATGGACGCTTCTTTGCTCTATTTCTATCATTTTTATGTTGCAAATGTTCCTAAATCTTGAAGTAGTCAAACTTTGGTGACGTGTTTACTTATTTCGAATGAGTTTAGAATCGATAGTGGAATGATTTTGATATTTCGAACCAAATTGATATGAACTTGTTTTGTGTGGCACGTTCTATGTTCCTCATTTTGATGCCTACATTGGCTTAACTTAAGATATAGACACAACGCCAATACAATTTACATCATAAATCATGTCTGAATCATTAATGATTAAACCAATTCAAACGTATAAGCCACGAAGGAATGTGACTTGTGGATTATATACCTTTAGACTAAAGAAAGAAAAAAAGTTTTTGAAATGATTTTGGAGATTGACATAACACATTTTTAGGTCTATAACAGATAAAACCAATAGAAATGGCCCCTTGTTCTTTTGTGAAAAATCTACTAAAAATATACTCGTTAAGTGAAAGGGTTGACTTGACAAAAACACCCTTAAAAGGTGGTTATGTGACAACTTAACGAGGATATCAACCGTTTTTTCATGGAAATACCAAAATAATTTACAGTGAACAAATTTAGAGACAACTTCTATTAATTTTCATTATCAAGGACAAAAGTAAGAATTATGCTGATCTCAGTGATCATTTTGAATAAAATGGATTTCATCTAGAAGACTTGCTTTTTAAATAATGTTATATGCAGGATTGAGATTTGAATATAATATCAATCATTGTGTCTGCGATAAATATTCTTGACCGCTTGATTCCAAAAAGATATGTAAAAAATAAGAAGAGGATCATCAAGACTTGTAAATTTTTCAGATTTTAATTAATATAAGATCAATCTCATGTTAATTGCAACTAAACTTGTCATTGGATCAAATTTTGATATAAATACATTCCGAAATTCAACGAAAGTTACAAATGAATCGAGATTTTCAATTTAATTAAGAGAAATGATAAGGATACTCTCTCAAACTACGACTTTTCGTGGACGTTTCAGCACCTCATATTTTTTGCATAATTCTCATGCCAACATTACAAAACATTGTGCTAAAAACATAAGGTGACAGAGAGTCACTTTGAGATAATTTCCTTAACATTTCTCTTGAGTTAATTCCGAAAACAATATGAATCTGATAACTCATAATAGGAAAAATTGGGCTTAGATTCTTACAAATTTCTAATCACAGACCGGCCCAACAACTTTAGTTTGCTAAAAACCAAGGTCTGCCCAACCTTCAAACCCACGACTTAAACCAAACATATGTTAAAGCCCAATCCGAAGTTCCGAACCACAATTACGATAAACGAAAGGGAAATTTTATTAAAATCCATTCAACCTCTCTTTACACCCCATTTTAAAAATATTTTATTCAAATTCCTAATTCACCTTGTATAAAACTGAAAAACAAAAAACAAAATCAAAATGTCTTTTTACACCCACTGTCACTTCCACCTCAAACCCTACCAGAGATTTGCTGGTGGTTCTTCAAGCCAACTTCTGCCTTCCATAGCCTAAACCCTAAACCATAGCAGCCCATTTACCTTCCACAAACTTTGACATCTCACGCCTTCCATACAACACAGAGGTACCCTTGGTCGTGATTCTCCACATTGCCGACTCTGTAACACTCAAAAACTGTGTAGGTCCCGATTTGCTTTCAACATTTGTCGGTTGAAGGAAGTGAGCAATAAAGAGGAGGAGGAGGAGGAGAATATAGGATGGGAATATAGAGAACGGAAAAAGAGCCTGAAAAGAAAAGACGCTGACACAAAAGATTCACCCGCCTCAATGAAGAAGACATCGAAAAGTAGCAGCGTTGGTGGGGCTGATATGGGTTCATCTCCCTTCAATTTATTTTTCTTATCTCACATTAATTTAGGGGTAAAGTGGAGAGTTTAATGGCAAAAATATTTAAGTTGAACGTGGAAAGAAGTTTTTAAGATTCAAATAAAATTTCCCTAAACAAAACGACGACGTTACGAATTCGAATGATAAAAGTTTGTCCAACCAAATTTCGGCTCCCGCGCTACTGAAACATTTAAAATCCACAAAAATCTCCCCCTACCAAGTCATCGATCCCCGTGAAACCCCCTTTCACCAATCAAACCTCTCCCTGCACCGTCCCCTTTCTTCTATATAAACCCCACACAGTCCAGAGCCACTACAAAATTCCAACACCTTCGAATCCTCCGAATCTGAAATTCAAATTTCCCGAACCGACGCCATGAGCTCCACCGCTGAAACCACCACCAAAGCCGGCCGGGGCAAGCCCCGCACCACCAAGTCGGTCTCAAGATCCCAGAAGGCCGGCCTCCAATTCCCAGTCGGCCGAGTCGCCCGGTTCCTGAAGACCGGCCGCTACGCTCAGCGAGTCGGCGGCGGCTCCCCGGTCTACCTCTCCGCCGTCCTTGAGTACCTCGCTGCTGAGGTACGTCGTTTTGTCCAATCAATTTCTCTTTTCTTTTCTCGTTTTTCTACTCCTAATTTTGCAGGCTGACTTTTGGATATTGTTTTTGAATTTCGTATAGATTTTGGAGTTGGCCGGGAATGCGGCTAGGGACAACAAGAAGAACAGGATTACTCCTCGGCACATCCAGCTTGCGGTGCGAAACGACGAGGAGTTTACGAAGCTTTTGGGGTCTGTGACGATCGCCAGCGGCGGCGTTTTGCCCAACATTCATCAGAATCTGCTTCCGAGCAAGGCTGGCAAGGGGAAGGGCGTGATTGGGTCTGCCTCCCAGGAGTTTTAGGGTTTTAGAAAAGTAAAGTGGTATCCTTGGTAGATGAAGGATCTGGGTTTCTGATGGGTAGCTTTAGGAAATTAAAATTAATTAGGCTTTTGGTAATATTGTAAAGCGTTTGGGTTACTGGAATATTGCTCAGTTCTGGAGTTCTTCCTTCAATGCAGATTTAATTTCGGATAATTTCTCCTGTGGTTTTTTATTGATTTTATCATGTCGTGTTTGTTATGTTTTTGTCCATTTTTCTTGGATTTGATTTCTTGAATGGTCAAGTAAAATGGTTTTTTTTTCTTCTTCCATTTATGCTAATTAAGGAAGGTGTATTTAATTAGGATTTTGAGGGATTTTAATTTTTTAATGAATTAAGGGGTATTTAATCAAATTTTTTGAAATTCAATATATATTGAATTAGAATTTTAAGATAGTTTATTACAATCTTTAGAAATTTAAATGTATTTAATTAAGATTTAAAGAAGTTGATTTTAAAGAATTTGAAAAAGTTGAGGAATTAGATGGAATTGAAGAGATTTCATAATTGATTAGTTGAAGAATTTTAAAGAAACAAAATGATAAATGTAATCAAGTTTATCATAATTGATTAGTTAATATGTTGGTTAAGTTGTTTTCTAAAACAGAGTAAAAAAAGTATGGCTTATCAAATTTTGTATTGAGCAATGGAAAATGTTCAAGGAAAGATGCAAAATACTTCGCAATTTTTTTATGTCAAGCAATATGTGGAGTTTCATCAAACACAAACTACTATTAATTTTGTCAATTTTGAATATGGTACATTATAAATGACGCTGAGCGATTCACAATTTATATTGGAAGAAATATTTTTTGCTCACTATTCTATTTATCATTTTTAGATGAACTTAGATTTCGAAATCTGTGTAATGAATAGATCCAAAAAATGCACCTGAAAATTGGGTGACCAAATTACAAAATGGTGTGGTTTTTAATTTGAGTTTTTTTTCTGAGTACATAGAAATTTTTTACATTAAGGGAAAGGAGAGTTCGGTTAAGCCACACAAAGGGCAATTTAATTTGGTATCGAATTTGTCATCCATGAGATTCGAATCTAAAACCTCTCACTTCCAAATGAAGAGGAATATCATCAGACTATGATACTTAAAACCTTTCACTTCCAAATGAAGAGGAATATCATCAGACTATGATACTAAGTAGTCCAACTTTTTGGGTTTCTAGAGGGGCGCTAAACGCAACTAAAGCCCACCGTTTTGGTAATAACAGTTTCTTTTGAGGCATGGTCACACTTTTCGGATTGGAATAGGATTCTCTTCTTTTTTTTTTTTTTTTTTCCCTTCTATGTGAACGGTCATAATTAAATCACGTCAACATCTTATATTAATTTTTTATAGAAAAAAAAAACAAAATAGAGAATATAAGAAGAAAGGATAGAAGGAAATAGAAAAAGGAGAAGAGAGAATCCTAATTCTTTCGGATTTCCCTTGTCCTAAAAAATTCTCAATTCTTTTTTAATTTCCGCCGAAACTCAAATTTACACGCTGGCGATCCGCGCCCAACCTTATCATCCAATCAAAACACAGCACCCACTTCTATATAAACCCACTCCCTTCCCCCAAACCCTTCAAGCATCATACACCTTCGAACCCCACGCCGTTCGCATTGTCCGCTATTTTTCTCGATTTTTCGCTTCTAGGGTTTCAGATTCGATCCCGATTCCGATATGAGTTCGCCGACTTCCAAGGGCGGCAGAGGCAAGCCCAAGGCAACCAAGTCCGTCTCTCGATCTTCCAAGGCCGGCCTCCAGTTCCCCGTCGGCCGTATCGCTCGGTTTCTTAAGTCCGGCAAGTACGCCGAGCGTGTCGGCGCCGGTGCCCCCGTATACCTCTCCGCCGTCCTCGAGTATCTCGCTGCTGAGGTTTGTTATCTTCTCTGCTTCATTCCGATTGTTCATTACTCTTTTCGTTTTTCGATCTTAATTGCTGTTTGGCTTCCGAGAAAATGCTGGAATCGAGTTCTGTTTGGGATGCGATTGTTGACATTTTGATTCGTTCTAATTGCAAATGCGGTTTGACGGTTTTGATTGTGATGATGTTGAATTTTCCTAACAATTTACTGCTGATTTTGGTTGCTGTTTGGCTTCTGAGAAAATGCTGGAATCGATTTATGATTTTATCAAGAATGTATTTCGATCATATGATTCTTATTCAATTTATGGTTGCTTACTGATTTTCCCGAACTGGTAACAATTTTTGAGTTCGCACTGAATTGATTTGGATTGATTGGATTTTACAGGTGCTTGAGCTCGCTGGAAACGCAGCCAGAGACAACAAGAAGAACCGAATTGTGCCGAGGCACATTCAGCTGGCTGTTCGAAACGACGAGGAGCTGAGCAAGCTTTTGGGATCTGTTACAATCGCAAACGGCGGCGTCTTGCCGAACATTCATCAGAATCTGCTGCCGAGCAAGGCTGGGAAGGGGAAAGGCGACATCGGATCTGCCTCACAAGAATTTTAGGGTTGTATTGTAATAGTCTGGTATTTAATGGGTTGTAAAATTTTGGGAAATTCCAGGCTGAATACAAAATTATTATGATCTTGTTTGATATTTGGGTCTGACTTTTCTTTTGTCACGAAGCTTGGAGCAATTTCTTTGAATCTTCTCTTTCCATTGGAGTTTTTAATCAGCTAACTGTGCACTAATGCTGTTAAACTTCAACAAAATTGGTTGAATAATTGGGTTGTTGGAAAGAAAATTTGGTATTAGATAAGGGGAATGATTTTTGTTGGGCAGTTTAGTTTGATATTAAATTCGATAAGGGGAATGATTTTTGTTGGGTAGTTTAGTTTGATATTAAATTTGTTATCTGCGAGATTCGAATATAAGATATCTTATTTTTAAGCGAAGAGGAATATCATTAGATCGTAATATTGAGTGGTTATACGGGAAATGATTAACTTGGCCCATTGTGATGCTTTTTTGCGCTATTATCGTTGAGTCAAGTGTTATGGCACACTTGAATGGAGTTAAATATGTTAAATAAAATTAAAAGATGTTTAGGTGTTCTTCAATGAATATGCTATATATGATGTGGTATGTGTGTCGTTTGATTTCATACTTTCTAGCTGCCTTTTTTGACAGCAAACAAAGGAATCAAATATATTTAATTGAATATTTTAATACATGGATATCATTAACAACCAATAGAATAAAACTAAAATTAATTTTGATTATTTTTTAATAGTTAATGTAACTTTAGGCCTAATAAAATAATAAAATAAATATTTAACATATCCATTGGAAAAGAAGATAATTTAGCACTTGTATTCAATTTGCCATATCAGCCATCAAATAAAATTTTGACATATTATATTTGACATCTCATTTGAATATGCTCTAAGCTAATGAAAGTATTAATTGGGGAATAAAATGTAATTTTAGTTATGAAAGTGAGATTAAAAAAACTAAGGGTAGTAAAATGAAAATTTCATGATATTTGAGAGGTAAATTGCGTATGTTTTTGCAGAATTATTGTTGTGTGAAGTGTCATGTCGTACTTTAACAGGATTTTTGACGTCTAAGCTAACATAAGTATGAATTTGAGGGTACTAACTATGAAACTGAGGTGAGAAGAAACTAACACTGTGTTTGAACAAAAAAACCCTAACACTAGTCTTTGGATGAGGAAAACAATGGAATTTGACTACATAATTTTTTATTTTTAAACTCTTCGAATAAGAATTTGAAAATGACATTTATTTATATGGAATTTAAAGTTAGGAATTAGAAGTTCCAAATTCCAATTTTTTTTTTTTTCCACGGAAATCCTAATGTTCTATGTTTATGAATTCAAAGAGTGAAATTGGTGCAAGTCAATTTATATTTTGACTTTTGTTAAAATTTTAAGTTTATTTCTCTCATCCATATAAAGGGTAACAAATTGTGAATTTTTCAATATTAGAAAGTAGTAAAGTGAGAATTAGTAGTTTAATATCCTAACATTAATTAACAGAAAAATTAACAGCCCAAGCCAACATAAGTAACAAAGTGGTAGCAAATCAAACTTTAAAAATGAAAGTGAGACGGAAAACTGAATTAATAAAATGCAATTTTGGTGAAACTTTGAGATGCTAAAAAGGAGAAATACCCCGATAATTAAAATAATTTTGCTTTGTGTAATACAATTTGAATTGCCATTTGGCGGGTAGGCTTTAAGTGATTTATTGACGTGCGGTGCAATGAGAAATTTTGTGGGTGCAAATAATAGCTCCGTTTCATTTTATCTTATACGGCCCCTGAAATCCCCACCAAAACAAGTAGACAACGGCCCAGTGCCGCCTTCCCCATCCTCGTTCTCCGCCCTTCGCTCACAATTCACAAACTCCGAGAGAGAGCTTCTCCGGCGGAAGCAATGGCGGTGCCGCTCGTCAACCTCGCCCCGAATCTAACAGTCTCAAAGCTCTGCTTGGGTTCGCCTGCCTCCTCTCTCAATTTCCAATAGTGTCCGTTACATTCCCACTGAGAATCTGACTCATTCTTCTTCGCAGGGACGACGACTTTCGGAGAGCAAAACTCGTTGCCGGAGTCCTTTCGACTCCTCGGTGGAGCTGTCGAGGCCGGAATCAACTTCTTCGACTCGGCAGAAATGTACCCGGTGGTTCAGCGAGCGGAGACTCAGGGGACGAGCGAGGAGTACCTCGGCCGCTGGATTAGGGAGAGCAAAACTCCTCGAAACAGCGTCGTTTTGGCCACCAAGGTAGTTAGTAAGCTCTGGTTTTAGGTTCTAACAAGTCATGCTAATGGTGTTTTTATGTTAGATTTCTTCTGTTCTTTGATGTGGAAGAATTGGGTTTGTTCAGGTCACGGGTCCGTCTGGGCAGATGACTTGGGTTCGAGATGGCCCCAAGTGTTTGGATGCCGGGAATATCGCCGACGCCATTGACGGCAGGTTTGATCAAGCAATATAGTTCAGAATTTTAGTTCTGCTTAAGCACTTTGTGTTGTGACTTGCTTAGTGATGGATTATGTAATGTTTAAATGCAGTTTAAGGCGGTTGCAGACGGATTACATCGATCTTTATCAGATTCATTGGCCCGATCGATTTGTATGTAGACATATTTTTGTAGTGGTTTGTAAAATTAGTGCAAAATTTAAGTTAATTGCTATATGATGTTCAAAGTTTAATTTTTTTTCCC